TGGGATGCAGCCTGGAGTCAGTCCCAGGGACTTCAATGGTTTCTTCGCCCACCTCTGTTGTCCCCTGGTGCTGGGTGCCTGGGCAGGGGCAGAGTCAGGATGTGCTCACTGTGTGCTGGCTGCCTTCGAGGACACTCTGCTAGTCCTGCCCTGGCCCTGGCTGCCCCATTGCTGCAGAGCCTGGGAGAGCTCCTGGTGGCATCTCAACCCTCTGCAGAGCCCCGGGTGCCCTGAGGATGCAGCAAACACCACACCACCCAACTGCAGGCACACAGGGCATAGTGCGAGAGCTGCTGGGCACTCAAGGCAGTGCCTCGGTGCAGTGACCCCTCCAACTACGCCTGCTGGGCTGGATCTGTGACAGGGCCTCCTGGGAAAGGCAGGCTCCTGGCCCCACGAGGTTTTGTTGGAAATGTTGAAGGGGGTGGGCTGCGATGGGGCAGCAAGGCTGGCTGTGTGCCAGCTCTCCCCATCCCTGCACCCTGTGAGGAGCCCTCCCTGTGAGCAGGGAGCTGTCACTGGGGACTTGGCTGTACCTGGGGGGCACCTCTGCCTCCAGAGAGCTGGCTTCAGGATGCTGCTGGTTCGCATCTCCCAGCGGGACCTGCAGCCATATCTGCAACCTGGAAAAGCCTCTTCTTCCTGGCTGCAGAGCCTGGCCCCTTTCCTGCCCTGCTTGCAGACGGAGTGGATTGGCCAGCAGAGCAGCCTTGACATGCATCCAGTTTGGCCACAGGGCTGGACTCAGGAGCACCTCGGGAAGAAGGTTTGAAAGCAAAGAGCAGCAGCCAAAGGGCAGAGGTGAGGTGATTGGAAAAGCACCTGCTGGCAATGCCACAGGCCCTGCCCTGGGGGGTGCCACAGCCCCCCTTTACAGTCTCGTCCTTCCCAGCAGTGCTTCCAGGGCTCTCTGTCCCTGTGCTCCCTGAGGCTTAGCCTCAGAGTTTGCAGCTGGTTGGCTGCACGGGCGGCCGTCCGTGCACCCTCCCCTTTGCAGGCTGGGGAGAGGATGCTGCCTGCAGGAGCTGGGGACAGCCGGCAGGGTAGGGCAACTGCAGCAACAGGGAGCAGGGCACAGACACCTCGTCCCTGCCCGTGCCGCACCGGGTCGTGCCCCCGTTCCTCTGCCACGGCAAGGCCAGGGTGCAGGGACTGGCCTCGTCCCCCCAGGGGAGATTGAGACCTTCACCCGGTCATTCCCAGCTAGAGAATCCTTCTGCCACCGGGAGAGGGGAGCACCCGCGTTCCCCGCAGCCCCCAGGGGCTGCCCCTGGCCGATGCCAGCCCTCGTGTCC